AGCATCAGTACTAATAACTTCAGGAATCACATAAGGATGAGAAACTTTTCTCCAAATATCATAATTCTCAGCCATAATGTAAGATTGCATCCTACTACACCAAAAAGAAAAATCCGTTCCGTAAAAAACATGAGGCTTAGTTGAAAACCTAACAGGAGCAGCCATGGCAAAAACTCTAGATCGATAAAAATCCAAAGAAGAAAACAAGGCTCTGATACCACTTGTAGGATCGAACACAAGAAACCAAGCCTACCTGTCACACCCTGTAGTTCTCCTCCCAAGCCTGAAATTTAATTTATAAATGACCCTAAGAAAATACCGGTGCAAATCAAGAGAAAACCCTAAGAAAGTAATACAAATAATAATCGAATCTGGCATGTGGAATTTTTCTTGAGTTCTACATGTCGAAAGTCACTAACAGGATTTTTAGTGGAATTTTCAGAGCCCTAGAAATAATTTTAACCAATTAAAATTGAGCAAGCAATATTTTAATTCCAGGGAAAATCCTTTTCTTCCTCTTTCTTTTTCTTTTTCCCCCTTTTCTTTTCGAGTGGGCCGCCGGCCCATTCTCCTTCCTCCTCTCCTCCCGCTGGGCCGGCCGAAGGCCAAGGCCCAGCTAGGCCGCGCGGGCCGGCCGCCCGCCTCCTCTCACCCGGGTCGCCGACAGGTGGGCCCCATCTGTCGGGCCCGTCTCCTACCTCGCGCCCGCACCGCCGCGCCAGCAACCGCCACCGCGCCCACGCCTCCGCCTCCTCCGGGCCACGTCGGCCACACCCGCGCATACGCCGCACCTCCTGCGCCCACTCCCCTCTCTCTCCCGCCCGCGCCCGCGCCCGAGATGGCCGGGATTCGATTTTCGAATCCCGCCTCTCTCTCCTCCCCCACTCCCCCACGTTGGCCGGCAATTCCCGCCTCACCCGGCCACGTCCGGCCCCCTCTCTCCCTATTTAAGTTGCGCCGTCGTTCCCTCTCTCCTTTTCCCCATTTCGCCGAACTCCCTCGTGCTCCCCATCGCTCCCGCGCCATGCACCCACCCGTCGCCACCTTTCCCGCCGCTCCGGCCGCCGCTAGCCACCGCTAGGCTCGCTGCCGCACCGCGCCGTCGCCGCCGTCGGGTTCGCAAGGACGAACTCCACCCCGTCCGCCCTTCCTCCGCCGGGATTCGTCGCCGGAATTCGCATCCCCTCGCGCTCCGGTGAGTTCTACCTCTACCGCCGCCTTCGGCCATGGATGCCGGCCGCCGTGGTTCATCTCCCTCTATCTAATCTCTCTCTCCTCCTTCCTTAGGGCACCCCGAAGCTCGTCCGCCGGTTGCCGTCGTCCTCCGGTGGCTTGCCGTCGCCGTTCGCCGTCGTCTTCCTCCGCGCCGGCCACCCTCGGTGAGGCTTCCTCTCCCCTCTATTCCCCTCCCTCTCCTTCCTAGCCACCGCTTAGCGCCGCCGCCTTCGCGTCGCCTTTGCGCCGTCGCCTCCGCCGCCGGTTGCCGTCGCTGGCAATGCGTTCGCGCGAGCGCACCGTCGCCATCACCGTGGCCGGTCGGCCGGCCTTGAGCCGAGCCGAGCCGGGTCGCCGCCGCCCGTCCGATCAACCCCGGGGGCGATCTGGGCCGTCGGTCCCGTGGACCGGCGGTGGACCACCCGCGTGGTCCCGGTCCACGGTGGACTACCCCCCCCCCCCCTTTGAGCCGCTGCCGAGTGGGGCCCGCTTGCCGGCGCCCCTTTTCCCTCTCTCCCGAGCCGCTGACCGGTGGGCCCCGTATGTCGGCGCCGCGCCCCCTTGATGACGTCAGCCCTGGGAATTATTGCGCAATAAATGATTTAAGGACTTTTTGTTATAGTAATAAACACAGTGAATCTTCTAAAATTCATAACTAATTCATCCGTGCTCCGTTTAAGCCCATTCAAGTCTCAGTAAATCAAGAAAAATGTGTAGAATCCATTAAAAATGGTTTTGTTCTCTGCTTCAGTAGTCTTATAGCCTGTTTGCAATGTTTGCCTTGTATGTCGCTAGATTCCGGTTCTTCCGACGCTCCGGTGTACTTCGAAATAGTCGCCGAGGTTCCTCCAGCAGCAGAGCAAGGCAAGTCATGCTTGCCACTTGAACATGTTGATCCTATATTGCAAATGCTCTATTGTTTTTCTTCAAATACTGCATCGTTTATAATGTTATTATGGGATGTTTACCTATTGTCATAGCCATGCTATTGTTGTACCATGTCCCTTTGTCAGCTTGGGGTTATGACATGACTAGAGATTGGACTAGGGATTGCTTAGCCATGCTTAGTTCAACTAGTGCACAATGGGGAAAATCCTATTAATGTTTAGACTGTTGGTTCTAATGGTATTGTTGGATTAGTGCCACCGCTTTGGTGTTGGTTAATTAAAATAAATCACATGGTGGGCTGTGGGTGCATGGTTTTGCTGGTCGCACCCATGGTAGTTAAGGACCGGTTCGTGGGATGCCCTGGAAGAACTTATCGTACTTACCACAAGCCAGCGTGGGCAACGGCTGGGCTTGTAGTGTAGCTTTCCTCTAGCTGACGCATCCAGGCAAGGGTGGGCGTGATGGAGCGGGGCGGGCCCTGTGACGGCCTCTGTCGCTTCCGGATTCACCTAGGCACGAGAGGGGACTGCCCGTTGCCCGTTGGGGACTGGGGTGAAACCTGAGGTGTGGTGTGCTTGGCTAGAGGGGGTTATGCGAAGGGTCCTGTCACGGCCTCTTTCCAGTATGTCGTGGTGGCATGTCGGCGCACGGAAACGTGTCGTGGGGTTGTGTCTTGTGGGTACAGTTGTACACCTCTGATCAGAGTAAAACTATTCGAATAGCCGAGCCCGCGGTTATGGGCGGTCAACCAGATTCACCGTGATTAGTCTCACCCTAGTGTAATCTTTTGAATTTGGATAGTTTAGGTGGATGGTTGGGCCTGTTGCAACGTGGGATAGCGTTGGACAGTGGATAGTTAATATTAATTAATTATTACAACTGTTTAAATCTTTCAACTTCTGTTTATAAATGCTCGCTTTATGCAAATGAACCACTCTAGCTCTCCTTTGATAATTCCCTGCATCATACCCCTATTCCGGTATGACTTGCTGAGTACAGTGGGTAGTACTCAGTCTTGCTCTATTTTTCCCAACCCCAGAGTACGAGTATGTGTCAGATGGAGGTTTCTCCGAGGAGTAGGCTTCGTCCGTGCCGTCGAGGATGCCTGTGGAGTGGTGTTCCCGCTGCAGTTCTAGTCAAGGCTTAGCTCCTGTTGTCTTTCGCTTTTCCGCTGCATTTATGTAAGACTTTTATGATGTTTGTAAGACGTGGGTCTGAATGTCAACATTGTCGTTTGTGTACCCCGGCCGGTCCTGGACGGGGATTTTAATGCACATTCTGCTTGGAATTCTATTCGGGAATTTCTGGGCGTGACACTACCAGAGGGGGGTGAATGGTAGGGAAAACCAAAAACCCAAAAACTTTTAGCGAAAATAAAAGTTACCCTCAAATCGATGGAAATCTCGATGTAGTCCTGTCGCCGCCGGTCGGACCGCTCACACGCCGCCGGTTGAACCACCTTGCTGCCGCCTGAACCCGAAGAAACACAAAACGAAGAACGCTCAAAATAGATGACAACTTTATTGCTTCTCTCTATGTTTACAAAGTGCAACAACAACACTCCATACAAAAATCTCGACTAAACTCGAAACCCTAACTAAACTATCAACTCCACGCTCTGAAAAGCGATACCAGGAAGCCTCACGCTCCCCCTCTATTTATACATGAGGTAGGCAGCCTAAAGCCACGAACCAAACTCATACTAAGAGTCCTAAACACCTTAGGAAACCCTCTAGTACAAGACACAAACTTTACATAACCAATCGTACCAAATTTGGACTCCTTCCAAATTCGACTCCGCATCCCATACGCACACAATACCTCCATCGTATGCCATATGGAATCTTCACCAATCACGTGCATCAACTCTAGCCTTAGTATTCTGCATGATATCTGACCACCACGGACATCGTCTTACCACCAAGCCGACTCCTGGTCCATCACCGCAAATACTCTCCCGAGGCATCGAGTCACCTACACATGAAATAAACAAAGAAACCATATTCCGAGACCAAGCTATCTCCAACTTGACTCATTAGTAGCAAACAATAGTATTACATACGTATAGTATCCATCTAGAAGCCATAACCATGAAACAATCACGGATATCTAAAGAAACAACCCGAAACCGAAACCGACACAGCGTCGGCCAGTCAGACTGCGAGCCTGGCCGGTCTGACTGCACGCATAGCGCCGGTCTGACCGGCAACCTCCGCCCGGTCGGACCGGTCACATAAAATAACAGTGAATCCGATCATCACCTGAAAATTGATTATTTACAAAACCACTTCGATGATAATCTCCAAATATCAAAACCAATAATTACATATGCCAATTGTTCATCACAGAATAAGAATAAAAACACATTTTGATCTTACAAAATTGAATGTTCATAACTTCATATATAAGTTAAATTATACTAAGGCTCGGTTTAGCATTTTGATAGGTTATGATAACCTAGTTTGGTGATGCTTTTAGGCACTTTGGTGTTTGGTAAACTATTTTTCTTTTAATCTAAGTCACAAAATTATTGGATTCCTTTTTGTGACTGATATTATTGAATTCTGAAAATATGAAACCTCTGAGAGACATGACACTAAACCATTAGTATAACCAGGGACAGAGGTCACATATTAGGTATAATTATAGTACCCCCTATATTTTGTGCTTTAATAAATTTCTCCATTATCTAAACAAATAGTACTCCTATATCTTTTTTGAAGATATAATTGTAAACATGTCGTTATAAAATAAGACAAATTGGAAAGAAGGTGTAGCATTCATCTATGTTATGCTGCAAGCAACACTGTGTTTTTGTTTTGAAGGTAATAACCATGCTGCCACTGAATCCTTAGTCCTGCCACATAAAGGCGTCGGCAAATCTAAATTCCCTAGGAACAATCAGCCTTATTGATAAATTTGCAAACTAGAAAAAAGCTATCCACAATTTCAAACATTCTAATCTATCCTTTGATATCTGATCTGGCTAAGCTAGGATTTTGTTGAAAAGACTGCATGCCAACTGAATATATTCTACATATCTATGGAGAAGGGTCAAAACCCAACTGTGGCATGCAACTTGCAAAGCATTCAGAAAGAGATCAAGGCATCATTATCTGATCCCTATCCCCACCCTCTTGTCCACACTATAAATACTTGGTGCACACTAGCTGAAATGGCAAGCAATTAAGGGCAGTTAATTAAGCAGAGTAAACTTGTGAGGAGGGTAGCCTTACATGGAGATGAGGAGATTGCCTCTGTTAGCCAAGAATGGCTTGCCTATCTCCACTATTTGGTTCATCACTGGAACACACTTGGGGTTCTCAGATGGTGGATGAAATATGGAAGATGGTGAGCCTTCCTGGCTAAGAGAGTGATTCTCATCCCCCATGCTAGGCTGTATCCCTCTTTCTAGCTCTCAACATCTCGCGATCTTCGGTAGGTGATTCTTTCAGTTCTTTGATCTAATTCTAGGTAAGATTCCATTCTTCAGATCATCCATCACAAATTCAGAGTATGGTGTGAAGAATTGAGGTGATAAGGGAAGTACAGAAAGGCTTGAAATGCAAGCTGAAAAGGAACAGTGATATGTTCTTGAAAAGATAGAACTGCTCAACTCCTCATTTGTTTCTCCTTCTCCTAAGCTGTGGAATATGTGTTGTCATTGCATCAAACCATTTCCGATGACACGCCATTTTAAGCCAAATAATTTGGTTCTGATAATTATTCACTCTCATATCATTTCATTGCATAACTTAGTAGTAACAATGCATATGGTTGAGAATATCATTTTAGTGCTTTATGTGGAGAATGAGCTCCCAGGCAAATGGGAGGGGAAAGTGATTTCTGACGCGTACTTGTTGAAAATGAGCTGCCTTGGGCCGGGCTTGCCTTAGCTCTCTCATTCCAAGCTAAAGACCTTTTATATCTTTGTAAATATTTGGTTTTTCCATGATGATATTCATGGGCTTTCTCGGGTCTAGACCCTGTGCTGAAGCCCTAGCAGAGAGCTCAGGCTCATCTTGGCCCCTGTAAACCTCTCCAGATGGTACTAGTTACTACAAAAGCTGAAAATACATATTTTTGCCAGCAAGAAATTTTGACCATCATATCCTGTTCTTTCCAGAAATGCGATCCATCAAGTTCCCAAAAGGTTATAAAAGATATAGTACTGATGAAAGTGAGAAAAAAATATTAATTGATTTACCTGGTGTAGAGTACTAGAGTACAATGTACCTTTTATGAACATCATTGCATAGTGATTTTGTGCCATTTTGTGCAGCTTGAACCATATTACATGAGGTTGCATGAAATTTACCCTTAAATAATTTATACATAAATTTAGCAGTTTTACACCACTATTTGTGGGTCTATGTGCTCAGTACCCAACATTTTACATTCGCAGGTCAAAATTCACGCTGCAGAGACAAAGATACCACTGATTTGGGGGTGGAAAATCCCCTATCGGCACTAAGGAAAACACATTTTTGGTGTTTCTGCGATAGCAGGATGCCTTATTTAGATGCCAACATTTCACTATCTATATACTACTATAAAAGACAATAGTGATGGTGGTGGTTCTGCACCGACCCCCACCACCACTACATTTGCACGTCTTACAAATTAGTCGTTGATATTTTATAATAGTATATAACACCTAATATTTGTTTGAATCAAGTGAATAGCATGTATTCAAATAAGTATGTGCATTTTACCATAGCAAAGCATTGGCATTTTGTTAGTGATCCTAGAAGTTGGGAGAGATATCAGTACAATTAATTGAGCCTTCCAAGTTCAACAAGTCCATCTCACACAAGGTACCCCTTGATAATGCAGCATGGTCTTGCCAAGTCACTAATCCTTATGGGATGCACATACGTACCACTACTGGAGAAACCATCTTTAGCGAGTCGGCCAAATTCCACAATAGCCCCGGTTCTTTAAAAAATCGGGACTAAAAAGCACTTTTAGTCCTGGTTTATAACTGCAATGGGACTATGTGATCTTTAATCCCGGTTCACCTCATGTCAGAGGCTGTCAGACCGCCGGGGATCTATCTTAACTTTAGCCCCCTAAAGTCCATGTAGATCTTTACACTCGGATGATAAAACCAACTGGAGCTAAAGTTAGCAACCTTTATATAGGTCTTCTTCCTCCTCCAGTTCGAGCCATGCTTCAAAATTTCAAGAGGAGGAGGGGAGGTGCTGCCAAAATTTCTTGTAAATTTATTTTGGTGATAATATACAAATCGGAGGGATCTAAAAGGTTAGCAACTTCATCCTCCAATGATTTTTGCTTAGCATATTACATTTAGAGATATGTTTTGTATACATTATTGCCTCTAAAAACTTTGATGAAAGATGATGAGAGAGAAAATTTGTTTAGGGAAGAAAGAATATAGAAATTTGTTTATTTAGATTTTTATTAAAAAAAAGTGATAAAAGAGATGAGAAATAAAAAATATAGAAAATTAATCTAAAAGGATAGAAAACTAAGTTAATTTAGATTTAAAATACGTACAACACATTAAACATTCATTTATAGCTTTAAAAATAATTAAAACATGAACAATATGTGGGATTATTGTGTATTTATTGTATGAATAATTATATATAATTACTGTATGATTATTTACTTGGTTTGACCTTTGTGGATTTTTTTTATGATTTTGTGCATTTCATGTAGATGGATTGGCAATGGATATACACCGCGGACCGATGGTCGAAAGAGTTTGTTGACGGCGTGCATTTTTTTTTAGTGTGGCCGATGCTAACAAGCATAAGGGTTTTATATGTTGTCCATGTGATAAGTGCAAAAATCAGAAGGAGTATTCTACATTAAAAACTATTATTTCCGCTTGTTTAAGTCGGGGTTCATGTCTAGCTATAATTGGTGGACCTAGCACGGAGAGCTAGGGGTTGAAATGGAAGAAAATGAAGTAAAAGACGAGAACATTCCGAACTGGGCTCGGTACAGTGGATTTGAAGAAAATACAACGGGTGATGTGGATGGGGCTGTTGAAGATAACAACGCTATAAATGATCTTGGTCAGATGTTGCGGGACATCAAAGAGAACTGGGAAAGTGAAAAGGAGGTCCAGCGGGACGCCCTCGACGTCTCTCTTCTCAACGCATGGGCTTTGTAAGTATTGTTTATGTTAAATTTATTTGGTTCCTTAGCTCCTTGTATGTAGCTCATAAAAATTCCTTTTATCTGTTGTGGAATGGAGATTCAAAAGGGCCGTAGGCAAGGTAATTACAATACTGGATTCATCGACCCCCACAAAGTTAACACGAAATGATCACCAAGTATGAGAAAGACACAGAGGACAATCTTCTCCATTTCCTAGTGCAACAGCATTTCAAGTCGTTCATATTACTGCCGTACAACACAGAGTGAGTTTTTACTGCCTTTCGTACAAATTTCCTTCTTGTACATCTACATATATATAGTTTCATATATATCATCTGACGCAATTTGCAGATTCCATTGGGTCCTTTTTCTTTTCGGCCTTGACACATGCAGAGTCCATGTATATGACTCAATGGATAAACCGGAGTCTACGTTCACAAAGATTTTTGAAGTGATAGACAGATAATGCCATCTATTCCACTGTCATTATGAAATTTGCTATTGCTACTATGCTGATCTTAGATAATAATTAATCAGAGCTTGCAACTGTACGTATGGTATGGGCTTGGTTCCGTGAATTGGTCACAGGGTCTTAGAAAGAAAAACTTAGTCAGAGGTTTGATTTTCCAGTGAGTAGATGCTCCAAAATTATATTGAATCATTAATTTGCTCTAAAATAGAAATGTATATTAAATCTCTCATCGTTTCTCCTTTAGTGTGCAAAGCAGGACCAGGGGAATAACTTCTGCAGCTACTACATCACGTCTGCAAGTATACCCACTGCCTATCAACCCAAATCTACGGTAACAAGGAATTGAATGTACGTAAAAATTATTCATACATGAATTATGTCTAGATTTCTTGTGTATTTCATATATTTATATCTCATGTTTTTTCAAATGATAGATTATTTATATGAGGGACAGACTCATCCATGAAGATTTTATAAGGGCAGTCCAAGAACAACTGATGGGTTTTATCAACGAACAAATTATTGATCCTGCGGGTGAATTCTACTACGACGGGTAGTGTCGGTCCTTCTTCTTCTGAGATAACATCGAAGTAGTATATGATGGAAACATTAGATATAAGGTCTGAAGGAATTGTAATATATGTATATATTTATATATGTAGACATTTACTTAATTGTAAATATATATTTTGGTAATATATGTATATATTTAGTTAAGTGCTTATATATGTGTGCTAAGGAGTTACACAAAAATGTAATTTAAAATAATTAATGACCTCCTAATATTTCATCATCGTCTTCTGTGCAAAGGTGTGTTGCTCCAATGCTACAATCATCAGGACCATTCATGAGGAGAATCATTCACATCCTACACGTGTAGAGCAATCTAAATGTCCAAACACAAATATTTCTTTGTGATAATTGCGCGTGTCGCTGGTTCTTATGATTTATGATCATACTTAGGTGCTTCGATAAATTATTGAGGTCAAACTTTATCCACCTCGCAATTGGTACTTATGATCATATTTAGGTGCTTCAATGAATCATTGAGGTCAAACTTTATCCACCTCATCATTATTCAGTGCAATGCACATACATTTTACTAGTAAGAGAAGTTTGAAAAGCATTTAGGTGAAAATATCACCATATACTATCTCCATCTAAATAATATAGCAATTTTTATCTAAATCTGGATAAGCAGTCGTTCAAATTAGTAGTTAGATATAAAACGAATGAAGTAAATTTAATGTTCATATTTTAAGACGAATGAAGTGAATTTTTTTTTTACGAAATACAAGATTTAGCAGTTTAAAAAAAAGTGATACCCAAAACAGAAATTTTGTATCTTACTCCAAAACCAAACGGGCCAATGACTTTCTCTTGAGAATTTATCTTTCGCAAAGAAACCCTCGTCTCTCACCCCTCCTCTCTCCCTCCCTTCCCCCGCCTTCTCCCTCGCGCTCGCCCGCCGGCGAGCAGCCCCGGCGGCGCGCGCGGTGTGTACGGCCTCCTCTCGCTCGCGCCCCCATCCTCCTCCCCCTGCCCCGCGCGCTCGGCCGGCGAGCAGGTCCCGGCCTCCTTCCATCTCGGCTCGAATCGAATCGAATCCAAGGTATCCCTCCATTCTTCCTCCCTCCCTCCCTCCCTCCCTCCGCCGCAGACACACTTGGTTGTTTGGAGATCCCCCAATCGAGCATGGATTGATTTCTTGCCCCCCTCCAATGGACTAGGTTTTCAACCGCTGTGACAGACGATGGAGGATGATGAGAGGGGGGATGGCGATGAGCTGATTGCCGACTATGTCGACTGCCTCATGTCCCTGGACACCAACTCCCGCTCTTGCCAGAATGACGCCCTGATTCTTGAAGGAGCTCCAGATGATGTAGACGACGACGCCGCTGCGGCGGCGGCCGCGGCGGCGGAGCAGGATGTGATGAGAGATTTTGCTCCTGGTGATGGTGATGGTGATGCTGATGCTGAGAATGATCCCAAGGAGCCGGTGCTCGGCATGACGTTCGAGTCCGACGAGGCGGCAAAGATGTTCTACAATGAGTACGCCAGGTGGCTCGGGTTCCCCTTCCGCGTCGGCCGGTCCCGGCGATCGAAGGGCATGGAGGAGGTTGTAATCATGAAGAGGTTCGTTTGCTCGAGGGAAGGGGCGCACAAGAAGAAGCAGCCATCGACGTCCGGCGAGGCTACCAGTAAGCGTGAGAGGGCATCGATGCGGGAAGGTTGCAATGCCATGATGGAGGTGGTCAGGGACAAGGACCATTGGGTTGTCTCCAAGCTTGAGAAGGCTCACAACCATAGCCTTGGCATCGGCACCAGATACGGGTATCTTCGTGCCAGAGGATTGCCTGATGTGTCCAACAAGATCGCTGCGATGGGCTCTGACGGGACCGCCTCTCTTAGGCAGAATTTCCTTGGGGAGACCGGTGACGGCCAGGGTCTTCTTGATTATCTGAAGAAGAAGCAAGCCAATGACCCCAGGTGTTCCCATGCCATACAGGTCGACAAGAATGGTTGTCTGATGAATGTTTTTTGGGCTGATTCTAGAGCTAAAGAAGCCTATCGGCATTTTGGGGATGCTGTCACATTTGACACGTCATATAAGAAGACCAAGTATATGATGCCCTTTGTTACCTTCTCAGGTGTCAACCATCATCTTCAGACAGTAATTTTTGGTTGTGCGTTTCTTATGGAAGAAACTGAATCCTCATTTTCTTGGCTGTTTGAAACTTGGTTAGCAGCAATGGGTGGGAAGGCACCAGGCTCGTTAGTCACTGACCAAAATAGGGCTATGAAGGCTGCAATTGGAAAGGTTTTTCCAGATACCTGTCACCGCTTCTGCAAGTGGTATATTTTGAGTAGAACCAAACAAAAATTATGTCATGCATACTCTGAGCATCCGGACCTGAGGGATGAGATAGAAAGCTGTGTGATTGAATCTGAAACTATCTCTACTTTTGAAACATCATGGATGTCAATCCTCGAGAAATATGACTTGAGAAAACATGCATGGCTTCAAGCAATTTACAATATACGCCAAAAGTGGGTTCCTTTGTACATGATGGGTACATTCTTTGCAGAAATATCACCCACACAAAAATTGGAGACCATGAATGACTTTTATAAGAAATACTTCAATACAAAGACAACGCTGGAGGTTTTCCTTAATCAATTTGATTCGACCATGACAAGTCGATATGAAAATGAAGCACAAGCAGATATAGACACTCGGTTAAATGAGGCAACTACAAGGACTGCATCGCCAATAGAGAAACAGGCAGCAAGCACTTACACAAAAGCAGTCTTCAGTAGGTTTCAAGAAGAATTCACAGAATCCTTGGGTTATATCATTCAGAAAACTGAAGAAGGCAGAGTAAACAAATTCAGCATCACAAAAGATGAAGATGATCCATCAGACACATTCTGTGTGACTTATAATGCTTCCAGTAAGATGGCAAAGTGTAGTTGCAAGTACTTTAAGTTCTCAGGTATTTTATGCCGTCATATTCTTGGAGTATTCATAATAGTTGATCCACGCACACTTCCACCTGATTACTTTTTGAAACGTTGGACGAGGAATGCCAGACATGATGAATTGTTGGAAGACAACAGCAATAACCACAAAGATGCTACTTGTCAATCCATTACAAGCCGTTACAATGTCCTGTGTGCTGATGCCATCAGATGTGCTGACAAAGGATCTGCATCAAAGGCTGTGTATAAAGCAGCAAAAGACATCTTACAGAAGGCATATGAAGAAATCATTGCCTATGAAAGAAATCCTGGCAGAGGATTACAAAGGGATGCTATAAACATCAATGAGGATATCACAATAGATGATACCATGAATGATCAATCTTTGCCAGATTTCTGGACAAAAGGTATGTTAATCTAAATTATATTAAACGTTGTGTAGATTATATTAAAGGTATTTGGCATCAGAAGTGCAAGGTTTGTAATGATATTGGGTTACTGACGTTTATTGTTTTCTTCAAAATTACTCCTGAAGCATAGTCAGAATCATTCACTGATTGTAACACTTCCTAACCCAAATTAATGTAAGCAGAAGTCAAACTGTCATGCCAACCTTTTGAAATGAACGCAATATTGCTTTATGAAACTTGCTTCTCATGTTATTGGTAGAAGATACATCATCAGGCTTAGGATCTAGAATTGAATTGTAGATGTTTTAACAGGATTAAATTGTAGAATATAAGATTGAACCTGATTATATAGATGTATTTCCCTTTATACCATGCGTCTTCACTCTTAATAATGGTTTTTAGTTGTGCTTTAGATTTGAATAAATAATTGGTGAATTTTTACAATTGAGAGGACATATGCAAGCAATTATTTGTATTTAGTTACTGGAATCAGTAGAATTAGATTTAGTTATGATCCTGATCATACCCAAAAAAAGCACGCTAAAAAGAGTGCAGAGTCACAGATCTCTTAGACTCAAATTGAGATGACAACCATCATAAAACATTGTGTGATGTGCATTGGTACCATATCAAATGCTTTCTTATCAGAGTCAAGCCATGCAAAAAATGATGCATTTTCTTTGCCTTTACAGGAACCTAAAATCTTCTAGGCCAGCTTCTTGGCAACTCTCGATCTCCAATCTGAATGTATATATTTTTGTCTTCTCTTGGAGATGCGATGCAAATTACCACCATTGCATGGTGTCATGCTTGACATGCAATTTCCATGTTGAATTGACCAGTGGAGAACAGCATATGGACCAAGATGAAAAGAGTTTCCACCGATGGTAAATGAAAAATGTTATTATATGACTATATGCTCTTTAATTTTATTTTCTGCTACTTCAGTATCAGTCTTGCCAAAAAAAAAAAAAATCAGATAGCTCTTGTTACCCTTCATGTTTAAAGCTTAAACAGCATAACAGCATAAGATGCCTTATTATGTTGCCATCACGCAAATATAAGCCCGTTAAAATTTATTTTGGAAAAAGTATGGAATATTTCCCAAAGAACATATTATTTTGCTTTATAGCCAGTCTGTTTAAGAGTTAGATGTCTTCTTAGGAAGTTACAAGAGGAAGGTGTTTTCAAATCTAATTTTCCTTTCTTGATTACTTTGCCAAAAGTGGATCTTAAGAGGGAAAATGGGGGGCCTAATGTGACTTAAGGGTGGGTATTTAACATAATTTTCCGTACTCTCCATGCTAGCAAATTATTTTCTTCTGCCAGTTTAGATTTTTTTTAAAACATGAAAATAGTTTAGAATTTTCTTCTGCCATAGGATTTTTTTCAATCTTCAAAAGACGCTCGTACTTTCTTGATCTTATGAAGAAGGAGCTTTCCTTAGCTGCGGACTTTGGGATCTTGAGAGTAGACCATCCATGTCTTACGTTAGGGAATCCGAATAAATCCAAATCCTCTGACACTCCTTTTCAGCTGCTATTTGAATACATGTTCAGATGCAAAAGAGCTCGACTTCGAGTATGGTCTTGTTCTTAACTGCTTGAGAGACTCCTATGGTAGCCAGTTTAGAACTTTGTGTCGTAACTCCTATCATAAATCAATTTCTGACCCTTGAACTCTTCTGAAACCCACATGGTTGTTTTTGACTGTCAACTGATAAAATCTGAAAAATGACACCTTTGATCCACATTCCACAACTGTTTCCGTTGATATGATAGTGATTTTCGCTAGTGTAAACTTATATTATGCATGTTCTATTGATGTGAATGCTGCTTAGTTTGGTTCACATCAAAGAAATTCAGCCAATAAGAGTTCAAGTCTTCAAAAACCACAAACATGCTAAACCAAAATCGTGGTGAAATAGGGTTCGAGGCATTATTTGTCTGGTTTTGGAAGTTTAGGGGGGGAAATATGACCATATTTTTTTTCTGGGTGAAAGTAATAACGTGCAATATGTCTTGTTGCACAGGATTCGGATCAACAGCAACAATATGGGTTGAGACTTGGAAGCTCCCTTTTGAAATGTGCATCAAATCCACCCTGCTTGCCAACTTTAATCCTTGAGATCACTGCGCCTATGAGATTCATTTGGGCATTTGGCCATTATGGCTAGTTGATAGTTGTTCGTCAGACATCAGCCGTTGTTGCATCAACATCTCAGATGTTCAGAACGCACTCAAGTATCAGGAGTACTGACGCAATCAAACAATACTTCCAAAGATTTGGATTAAGACTAGCCTAAATGATGCTTGAACTGAAATTAGTACTGAGTGTTCATGGAGATGGAGGCGAGGGTTGTGATTCTTTGATGATAGGATTAGGCTGTTAGGGTAGGAAGCTGTGCAACCATTGATTACTTCTTTCTTTTTCTTTTTGTCCAAAGATGAGTTAGTAGAAGGAAGCAAAACCAGTGTAGCCTATGTCAATGTTGTTAATGAATTGTAAATTGAGGTGAAATGGTTGAGATCTGTATCGTTAACCTTGTAAAAGGTGTCCTGTTTCATCATAGTTTATCTGGGTATTTACCAGTTCACGTAACCTTGTAAAAGGTGTCCTGTTTCATCATAGTTTATCTGAGTATTTACCAGTTCACGTATTAACTTTGCACTGGTGTAAACAAAAATATTTACATCGGTCTAACGACAATGATAAACAGATTTGCGACAAAATTATTTTCATAGATCGATTGTACACCAAAATGCCATTCCATTCTGCAAGAGAGATGAGCTGAACGGATTACATATGGACTCGTGCAAATGCATCCATATTTTTCTTTATTCTTCCTTTATTTGTGCACTAAATTTAGTTATGTGCACATGTTGTAACACACAGTTTATAAACTAGAAATCCCATCTTTTCTTGACATTGAACATTATGGCTGAATTCTTTACATTGTCTTGTGGAACTTTAAGCGTCAACTGAACTTTAGCCTTCATAGGCACCTCCTTCGTCTTGCCCCCTGCATCTCCAACCTGCATGCCAGGACGCAATTTGCGTCAACTTCTTACAGTGCAAAAATATAGCAAGGAAAAATTATTTGGCACCTAATTTAACTGAGGTTTGTAGCTTATGCAGTTCAGGAAATGCTAGACATACTGGAAAAATGCTATTGCTAATCTATGGTCTCGGTTGTTTTCTGATGAAAATGCGATCTCGGATGTTGACATTGAAAATTTGAAATATAGGTGAACGCTTACCCAAAGAGATGCCCATCCAAGCCTTTGGTCAGACTCATAACCAGCTTTCCACTTGACATGCTTACTGGCCTTGTGTTTATAGATAAAACTCCAGTAGTTTGTGTCAAACTGGTACCGGTAGCTGAAAATGGTAAATACCATATAAACATATTAGCAGGGTACTCAAGCTTCCCATAGTGTCCAGAGCTAGGCATTCTTATAGGTGTGCAATCTCATCCATAAAGCATGAACAGTACATAAGTGTCTAGATTGAGTTTATGTTACATTTCCTTAGTTTTAAAAATGAGTTTTATGGGTCAAGTCATCCCAACTATATAAGGATGGATTGTCTCTCTTTTCACTAAGCGATAAAGATGAATTAATCTAGCATCCGCGAAGGTTCTTCATCCTTGTTCCACAGTCTCCTCAAGCTAAAAGATCTATCCCCTTCAGCTTTGCTTAGCTAGGTGAACTAAGGTTCATCACATGTATTGTCACATATGGTGTTTCTAGCATACACAACTATTTCAAGCTGTATTGGTGACGATGACTTGCACTAGAGCAGCTTACCTTAACTTGTCTGAAGGAGTGAATTGGCGCTTAAATGCAAAGGATAGTGAATTGGATGGTAAAGAGAGGCTTGGAATAAATGATAACTCTTCATCCTATAAAATACAACAAATATCCATCATGAGTGGCACAGTAAAATAAATGTCAATGGAACTGTTGTGGGGCAGGAGGCCAAGGCCCATGACAGAAACGAAGGCCAGCTGAGAGATGCTTACCTTGTAACGATATTTTATGTTCATCTCATTGTCACTGTACAATGCAGTGCAAACTCCATTCAGAACATGAGACCTCACTATGCCGTTTACTGACAAAATCCTGTCACCTTCATCCAAATATTTCTGCTTAACTGAAACTTCACCATTGGGAAAGATGAAGGTTGTCCTCGGCTACATACAAATAAGATCAATGAACTCATGCATGGTGTTTTCTAGTTTCACATTATCAATAACAGCAAGGGCTACAGTGCATTTCCAATAACTATTTTTTTTCACTTCATCTTAGTGACTTGGTTGCATAAATACTGACCAATCCATCAGGTGGAACCACAGATGATAACTCAATCTTGCATGGTGAATCACCCAAATTTGCTCTCACCGCCACTTCCCCTTTTTGCTCCTAATTAAGAGAACAAAAAATGATCACATATACTATGCGGTATCTTACATGTATCATGAAGACATATTTCTATAGCACAACAAAAGCTATGCTATATAATAGCAAATAGATACAAATTACCAACTTATTGTTCCATGTTAAATAATTTTGGCACATACAAAGGCCTTTTATAGACTCATGCCTTTCGAAAACAAGTATAACGTATATGCCACAGATGTGTGACTTCCAAGAACTCATTTCATTCACTAATTTACAATAAAGAATAGATAGATGTTCATATTAAATGACCATCACCGCATTTCATAGGGTCTTCCAGAAAAAAGAATGAAGGCGTTTCTCGATGGATTCATTTTGACTGAATGAGTGACTGACTATTGCAAGTATAAAACTAAAAAAAATGTCCATCAAATTCAACAAGAATCATTGAAGTTCATAATTAAGCAAATTGATATCATTTGATCAAATTGCTGCTGAGTAACAACCAAAGAGATCCCCACAGAAAAAAAAAAGGAACATACATTGAGAATTCGTTAGTCATATGGCAATTTATAAATGTGTTTCAGACTTTCAGCAGATGTTTCTTCAAGTTCAGTCCCAATGCTAATTAATAATTTCAAGAATGGATGGGAAAATGCAAGCTGATAAGGAAACTGCTCAAAAATAAAATCACTGCAAACAAAACAGATGCTATCAGAATAGCTTCTCCATATACATAACACACCTTTCTACTGTGGTACTTCAATTGAAAGTACCTATCCAAGTGAATACAAGAAACAGTTGATTTGTCATATTCATAATTGCAAGACAGAGACAAAAGGTGGGTCGAGCAGCTGATATGAAAATATGATTGCTCTCCATTCTGGCAGTTCTGAAACATAAGGTAGTCTCAAAATCTCACAGTACTGCTTTATGAAAAAAGAATGAGCATCAATAGCAACGTAAGAGTTTATAAATCACGCATATTTACTGATGGATCTTTACATAGGAATCATTCAAGCAGAAAATGGCTCTACAACAATGATTTTTACGATAATGATATATCGAAGGACATCTGAGAAACTCAAAAGGTTACAGTAAGGACAGAATGGATGACATCAAGTTTTAAAGCACTAGTACTTGATATTCATAAAATGCAACACATAGTGCAATACATAGGATCTCACAATTTCTAGCCAGTGTTCCATATGTTTCCCAACTCAGCTCAAGAACTCCAAATATAACACCGATTCAGTTGTACCAAACTGTTGCACAAACTTAACCAATACATCCTAAACAAAACCACTTGCATCTGTTGGCAATGCCAAAAGTGCTCATATTATGCAGAAGGTTCGACTATAGAAAATAGTTTTCAAATTTTGAAATTTACGCAGTCATATCACAAGTATGCATGATTATGCCCAGTGATGTATTTCGGCACCTAGAATCAATATTAACTCATAAAGCTAAACCCAGAAAGCAGGCCTGCAAATGACATGTAGACTTTTTATTCTTCCTCCCCCAACAATGCAAGTATATCTGGTCCTTTGTGTTCTTCACTCAACAGCTTACTTTTAGCTGCCTACTAAATCTCAAGAAAACAGAATATTTCACTGACACCCTTTTGCATATCCCGTTTCTGTCATTCCGGACAAAGTAAGGTCCTGGATTAAATTCCTCTGTTCTTCAAAATGAGATGAATTTATCTGTTTTCCCTTCTCTTTCATAACCCATATGGCTAGATAAATGTCAAGAGCCAGATGCAAACAGCAGCGAAGACGCCCAATCACATTTCACATTAGGGTCAATCGTTCCCAGCAAAGCACTAAATTAAATAAATCAATCAAGAGGTGGCACCTTGGTGTCGTGCTTGGCGCTGAGGCGAAGCGATCCGGCGAGGTCGGCGGCGCCCCGCAGCATGGCGCTTCGGGCTACGGTGTCGACGGCGACGGAGAAGTTCCGCGCGAGGAGCGCGACCTCGGGCGGCGGCGGCTCCACCGCCGCCGCCCCGGCCCCGCCGACCCCGTGGTGGACCCGGACCCGGAGCTTGGCGAGGCCGTCCATGACGCGGCAGGAGAGGCGGTGGGAGAAGAGCCGGGCGTCGCTGTCGAACTCCGAGGTGACGCGGACAGCCGACCGCCTCCGCCGCGGCGGCGGAGGGGCTCCCTCCGGGGACGGCGGAGGGGCGGGGCCCGGGAACGCGTGGTGCGCGCCCGCGCTGGCGTCCTCGTCCATCGGAGGGGGCGGGGGCGGGGCGGAGAGGAGCGCCGGGGCCGCCATTGCGCGCGACGGCGGCGAGATGAGGGTTGGGTTGGGGAGAAGATGAGAGAGAAGGTGGGGGAAGTGGTGTGGAGTGGAGTGAAGAAGACGCGTGGCGAGCGTTTGCGTCTTCTGCTCACACAAAGATATGGTATCGTATGCGTATCTCCAAATTTTTTTTCCTTTTTTTTTCATCACACGAAATAACGCATATGCGTACACGGATTGAGATTTCAAAACACCGTACCTTTATTATTAATAGATGGGTTTATCATTCATGACAAAATTAGATATATTACCGAAAGTTCTCGTTTTTTGGTTTTATAGCACCGAAAGTTTCTAATTCATTTTATTAGCTTTCAACTTCCCAATCCGTTACTATCTAGAGCACTTCCATCATTTACAGCTCTATTGCTATTAGATTGATTAATTCTGACTGAACCATTTGATCCTACCTTCTCATTCACTCCTCTTTCATTCCCCCGAGTCACCGACTAGCACACGCTATTTGTGTATTATTTCTGTAATTGTGTTCTATTATATTCTAACCTAATCGATCTACCCCTTCCCCCACCCCCAGTGCGTATCGTCAAGCTCATTCCGTGTCGCATATATATCTGGATATCCCTCTCTAGGCGCGGCGGCAGCAGCGGTCCGCTTTACCCCCACCGCAACTGCCCACCCCTTATGTCCTGTTACCACTCACCAACAGCCACCCATCCATCCTATCACTAGCAGCAACGCGACGCTGCTGCTGCCAATCGATCATGTTGCTGTTCATTCTTCATGTAGGAGAAAGATTAAAAAACTTGTTGCTGTGTTCAGATCGGCAACACATAAACTAAACTTTTGTCATTCTGTGTCGCTTAACTTAGCTTTTGTCATGTATCTGAATTTCCAAACAAATTGCAACGACAAAACAAAAGTTTCTGTGATTTTATCCTGCACAAATCTGCAAATGCTAGCACTAGGAAAATCAATAAGATGCATGTAGCAAGAAGACATGGACAACTCATTTAAACTTCAGTTGGAGTTCAAGCAAAACACTCTCTAGCTCAGTACAAAGCATGAATGATTCAATCGAAAGGGGGCAGACTAGCATAGGTGGAGGCCAAGCAACAACACAGGCTTCGACGAGCGAATGACGCGTTAGGAGTGGTGCTCAAAAGGTGAGGGTGCAGCATCGGCTTCACGTCGTGCGCCACGCGAGGGGGAGCAGCGCCAGTCGGGGACTCAGGAGAGAGAAAGAGGAGAGAATTAGAAGGTAGGATCAGGAATGCTCTAGGTAGGCTGTGTTTAGTTCACATCAAAATTGAAAGTTTGGTTGAAATTGGAACGAAGTGACAGAAAAGTTGGAAGTTTATGTGTGTGGGAAAGTTTTGATGTGATGGAAAAGTTGGAAGTTTGAAGAAAAATTTGCATCTAAACACGGCCGTAGTAACAGATTGGAAAGTTGGATGCTAATAAAATGAACAAGAAAATTTCATTGCTATAAAACCAAACACAAAAACTTTCATTGCTATATATCCAATTTTGCCTTGATTCATTGGACCTACATGTCAGTAACAAAGACATGTGACTTGTTTATGACATTGGATCTACACGTACACATCACCAAATCATATTTACGCTTTCGGATTGCATAAAAGATACATTGCAAACACACCACCCATATCCCTACACTCGCGATATTATAGACATTGCTAATAAAGCATACTTTTATGTGTATGTTTTTTTTATTAAAGAGATGAGTAGAAACAATTATGGTGCTAGTAAGGCTTAAGCCCAAGCTCTTAGCTCTATAATGTTAACACCTTAACAAATTACTCCCTCTTTCCCAAATTGATCATCATATAAGTTTATGCACCAAGACCAAGAACAATTTAAATCACATCAATCAAGACACTATGCACACATGCATTCTCCCACAATACATGTATCGATTAAGGCTATTCCCAACCCTAGACACTAGACATAGTTTCCATAAACTTCACATCATCAAGAAACTAGTACTAGACACTACTATTCCAATGCAAACACCACTATTCTATACTTAAATTTAATGCTACTTATCTCACATGATGTCTTGGATGTTGTGTAAAAACCATATCTCGTGCAAGACATGGTTTCCTCTCTTTCCTCGTTTATTTACTTGTCACATCATTTTTCGTTCTAGGTGGTAACTTATTTAATGCTATGAACAACATCCTAGTCATTGGGTTGGGAATGGCCTAAAACCTTATGCCAACTACACCCACATATTCTCTCATATTGCATTAATTATATTCTGATAAAATCCATGTCCATGTAGTTATATGATGATCAATTTGAGAAATTTTGGATTCTATTACATGATGATCATTTTGGGAATGAGAGAGTACTATGCAAATTTTGGAGATGTGGAAGTACACACTAACTCAAGCTCTCGATGCGATTGAATTCTGGTTCCATGTGCTAGCAACCTAACCATTGCAGCTTAGATTTAACAAGGAGGAAATACAAGGTCTTAGAGTTTTATCAATAAAACAAAAAAAATGCTTCGTAAGAATATAAGTAGCACATTTGGTGGGTGTGAGCCATGCGACTCAAGCGATCCCTTGCACCCTTTCCAATCCCCTTCTTCATTTTTCTCCGATGTCCATGGTACCGTGATAGTGGCAATGGAGAGGGGATCTATCTCTCGTTTTAGTTAAGTAAGTCTATAGGGTTTCTTTAATTGCTTTTAATACTTCCTCCATTTCATAATGTAAAACTTTCTAGCATTTCTCACATTCATATATATGTTAATAAATCTAGACATACATATATATTTAGATTCATTAATATCTATATGAATATAGATAATGCTAGAAAGACTTACATTATGAAACGGAGGGAGTAGTCTTTATCATTTAAATGTATTAGATAGTCCGGAGTATGCCTTTTATTAATGGAATTATATTCACTTAGGTTTATGTTCTCTTTCTATCATTTTTCATAAGTACTTTATTTGTGAGGTGGCTAGTTCATATATGAGATTCTCGAAGAATTATACTAGCTAAGATCCTAAAAAAAAATAGAAAGGCTTTATTTGTTAAGCGAACGGGTGACCCAATCTATAGCACTAACTTTTGGTACCGACTTGTTATACGGTTATACCGGTTTATTAACTTTCTCAAATAGATGAAGAAAATGCCTCCTGCTTATTCATTTGCATTTTCATTTCATGGAGTTGGTCAACACTTAGGCTGTGTTCGCCAATCCATGTTCCCAACCGAAATAGTACGCGCGGAAAATAGAACAGTCTATTAGCGCGTGATTAATTAAGTATTAGCTATTTTTTTTCAAAAATAGATTAATTTGATTTTTAAGTAACTTTCGTATAGAAAATTTTTGCAAAAACACACTGTTTAGCAGTTTAAAAGGCATGAGTACGATAGACGAGGGAGATGGATCGGGAAAAGGGGTGCCGAACACAGCTTTATTGTGCTCCCATCTCATGCAACAATCCAAATTATGAAGTCTCTTTGTTCTACTTTATAAACTTTTATATTTCTCAATAGGGTAACAATAGATTATAATATATTCTCTTATTTAATATAGAGTAACACTAAATAAATTTGGCCATTTTAAGAAAAATAAACACTAAGGGCATGCACAATGGTTGTCAATAGTGGTTTCTTAGTGTAGCTAATTAGGAATACTTGTTGACATAGAGGAAAGAGAAAAATAAGAGACAAAACATCATTGTTATGTATAACAACGGCTTAACAACGACTCTTAATCACTATAATATGGAAAAATGGTTGCACGAAGGTGAAAAAAGGGAAAGAATATTAATAAAAAAAATATTTTTCGAGTTAATAATTAGAGCCTTTGTTATCTCAACTATTATAAAAACATGGTCTCTAAATAATCATATAAAATATTATTTAAGAGACCATACTCTAGTATTGAACCTGCCCAAAGAGCAATATTTCTGTCCTTATTTTGTTTAGAGAGAGCAAGAGATATTTTCTGTTCCTCTCCTGTCCCCACACACCAGGGGTCTCCCTCTCTCCTCTCCTCTTCCTTCCACTCTCCTCGCTGGGTCGCGCGCTTCCCTGCTCTCTACACCGCGTCCATACCCCAGTTAAGGCCATCCCGAATCTCGAGGCAGATTGGACGGCTCCCATTCACCCCCACCGTACACCGGGTCCACCCACCCACCCCCACAGTCGCCGCCCCTTCCCCCGCCGCGAGAGTCAGCGCCCTATAAATACCCGACCTCACCGGAACCCTAGATTTTTGAGAGCTCCCCTTCTCCGCCACCGCAAGCTCTCCCCTGTACCCACCCACCGCCACCGCGGCTACTACCCCGCCGCCGCTATCGCCGCCGCCATCACGAGCTACTAGTAGCTACCGGGCTATCGCCGCCGCTTGCCCTGATGCCGCAGCAGGAGGTCGCCGACCAGATCGCCGCCGCGGCGGCGGAGCGGGGCCTGCAGAGGAGCGGCTCGGCCAGCCGCCTCAACGCGGGGGCGCCGGAGTTCGTGCCGCGGGTCGCCGCCCCCGTGGTGCCGCCGCCGCCGCCGGTGATCCGCGTGTTCGCCGCGGCGCCTCCCCCGCCGCGGGCGGCCTTCTTCGCGCCGCCGCCGCCGCATCACCGGCCGTACGAGTACTACGCGCCTGTGAGGGGCGGTCAGTTCGCCGCCGCCGCCGCCGCCGAGGAGCAGGAGGCGGAAGTGGACCCGGATGCGACGGAGGCGGCGGAGCCACTGGTCGACGGGTTCCCCGACGAGGTGGTGCACAAGATTACCAAGCAGGTAGGCATCTATTTCCCCGTAGATAGATGTATCATAAACAGTAGTAGTATTCAGCAAATTATATTGTGATGATTTAGGGGAAAAATCGATTAGAATGTTTAGGTTTTGGGTTTACTGATCATGTATTGTCTTAAACAGCGTTCTGAGTTGGCTCAAGTACTGAGTAGATGCTGTTTGTAGTGGCTGATTACGCTAATTTTAAGAATGCACAAACATTTTGGGATGCAATTTATGAAAAATTCCTAGTTATGTGTAGAAACAATGTATCGCTAAATTCCCTTAATTGGTGAGGTGTTTGGTGCTGTTCAACTTAGGTTCTTCATATGTGATACTCCTTCTAAAAAATGATCTGTGCCTAACAATTTCTAATATTGATCGTCGCATTACCCATGGGCCCACCCGTTGCGTCTCGGGTGCAGGCCACTCGCCCTTTTCGGTTCGCACGCAGAGTTACTCTGCCAGCACGTTTTGCATCTCAGGAGTAATGCATTTCACGGCTCTATCAGATCCCCAAAAATCGATGTTTTGGTTCGCCGGCTAAACAACAATCAACTAAAAGAAAGGAAAACAAAGTATGTAGCTGATCTCATGCAGAACGGATGTGCATGGCTCCTTTTTTTCGTGAATGTAGCATGGACGATGTGTCCCCTAAGACTGATTAACATGGGGAGTTAATATCTCCTTAGTTTCTCAAGATGGAACGTGCTGATCAAACCTGGATGGAGGGAGTAGTCTGTTGTGCTGAGCATCGAGAGCACCTGTGGTTGTGGATGGTTATTTGAAACATGGTTGTTGTGGCGTTGTTTGCTCCGTTCTGCTTGGTTTGTTTCTGTTCTGTTCAACGTTGCCCATGTATTCTCCTCCATTCTGCTTTAGGCCCTGTTTGGCATGGTTCCAACTCCTAGTTTCTTGCAGAAATAGAATTTACTATTTAAAATAAAGTGATCTAATAATCTAATTTTAGCCTAAAGCGTGAACAGAATATCTCACACTAACAACCTTTGATCTAGCCCCAGTTCCAACTCCAGAATTTTTGGAGCTAGTAAAACCCAGCTCAAACAAACTTGGAGTTTGATCTGTACCTAGGAAAATTCAGTTCCAAAAAACTTGGAATTGGAGCTGTGCTAAACAGGGTCTTAGTTCACCTTACCTTGCCTCAGTGACACTTAGGTGCCTGCCCTGGATGCCTTGGCATCCTGGCGCCTTTCAAGCACATGGTTGCCTTGCAGCCTTGGTTTGGAAAACATTTAAGTGTACTAACATAGTGAAGTTCTAAATTATTTGGTGAAATTTTATCTAATCAGCTGTTTGTTTAGTGAATCTCTATCATGATTGAGGGAAACATTCCTAATAGGCTAGTGTTATAGCAGTGAGCATCTAGTCTACTTTATAAAACTGCAGAATACAACAGAAATACTTTTGTCCTTCATGACTTTATTATTGACTTTATTATTTAGAATTTAGTGGAGGCAGCTGTTGCAATCAGATCATACATAATTGTGACTCAGCTGTGCAAAATATGTTCCTATGTTTTATTTGTGTATTCAATTTTCATTGGACTGCTTTTTAAATAGACACAGGCTTGTAAATAGGTAGTAGGAAAGTATGGTTCTGTTTGGAACTGATGTGCAGTGGTCAAGAGTTAGGACATTTAAGATATTTTTTACACAAATAGTAAAACATTATTGCTTATGTAATCTGTAATAACTAATCAGTTGACAAATATGTAAATCTTTAAAAAGCTACATTAAATGGAGTTTTTTCGGATGGTCATAAATTCCCAAAGGATGCCAAGTCCTGTCAAATAGCGTTAGTCGTGTTGTTTTGTAGTGTCTAGTAGATCAGTCAGAGAGAGAAGGATAATGTGCTTATTTTCGCATAGATATAGTTATTTAGAGTTCGTCTCATGTTTACCTAGGTGACTCCTCTGTGTTAAGGCTCTCCAGGGAGTTAGTTAGCCATTGCCTATGAGGTAGATGAGAAAAGAGACGGGAGAAGGGGACTGTAGGTAAAATTGCCTTGATTTGATAGGGGATCAATAGATCTGATGCTGGGTATACCTCTTATTCATTGCTGCGGGCTTGCTGCCAGGGAGTCGCACTGCTGTCAGATGTTAGCCTTATAGGGCTGTACCTTGCTGTATCTGTTGCTGCCACTATCCTTAGTTCCCTATAGTTTTTTTCATGGTGCTGGGCAGCGAACATTGTTGTCGACTTGTAGCAACTGTGGCAGTGTGGCTAGTTCTCTACCTAACCCTGCTGTATCGTCCCTGTTCTGGTGGCAGCAAGCCTTCTGGAGTTCTGGTTGTTACTAGTTGTCTCTTCAGAGCATAGAGTTTTGTTTGTGGGACTTTCTGGGCCAGTTGGTGTGGATTCTTTGTGCCTTTTCTCTTTTTTTTTTCATCTACTCTTCCAGTTGATGCCATAATCAAGTTCATATGGTTTCATACTTGCCTTGCCATCTTGATAATCATGTTGACACCTCCTTATCTTTTCTTTTGTGTTTTCTCTTGCCTGAAACTATTTGAGGACAATTTTGTAGGTGGAGTACTATTTCAGTGATATAAACCTAGCAACAACAGAACACTTGATGAGATTTATTACCAAGGACCCTGAGGGATATGGTGAGTTGTGTATAATTATTTGAATGAATTTAATTTTTGGAGAAATTGATTATTTTTTTACATGATTATAATGATGTCTAAAAGTAATACATTTTTTCAAAACAAAATGGCTGTGGGTAAACATTTTTCTTACAATAGTTTGCTAAGCTTTACTAGTATAAACAAACTCTTTTTTGCTAAGCTTTACTAGTGAAAAAGAACTATCTCCTATTATTTCCAAAAGTGGGAATTTTTTTTGGTCCTCCTAGATGTTGGTACATGGATATGCTTGATATTGCCAGATGAAAGATGATTGTTTTTAGGTTATTAATTATTTTCCTAAATATTTGGGTTAAGAGAGGGAATATTAGGTTTTGTTTGGAATATTATATTTTATAACAAGCCATGTTTGGTGGTAACATTTCTTCTTTTTCATGAATGCAGTGCCAATAACAGTAATTGCCGGCTTCAATAAAATAAAAGCTTTAGTGCATAATAATTCAATGCTTGCCGCCGCTCTTCGAACCTCATCAAAACTTGTAAGTTTCTTCATTCCGTACTGTGGTATGCTCACTTTATGATGGTTATCTTTGAAGGACAACATATGTTTATTTTTAGGAGTAAAACACCAATTTTTTATCTACTGATATTTCTAGCCAAAAAAAAATTCCTGTTTTATCTACTTATTCCATTCACATTGCAGGTTGTAAGTGATGATGGAAAAAGAGTAAAGAGGCTGCAGTCATTTACTGTATCTGATATGCAGGACCTGCAGGTATTCATGAATCTCAATCGCATGCTGTTTATCTTATTTTTTTGTAAATTTGTGATAATCTACACTGATTTATATGGCTTCTTCATCTTTGTTGTAGTCCCGAATAGTTGTTGCAGAAAATCTTCCTGGTGATCCCTGTTATCAGAATCTTATGAAGATCTTTTCAACTGTTGGCAGGTAGGAGTTTGCAACATGTGAGCATCCTATTTCCCCTTTTGAGGATCTTAGAAAAATAATATATTGCGACTTTTTAATGTTCTAGTGTGAAGACCATTCGAACCTGTTATCCTCAATCTTCAAATGGCAATAGTCCTGCTACTAATAGATCTGCCAAGCTAGATATGCTGTTTGCCAACAAGGTAATTCCCATTCAATTGTTATAAATTATGTTATCATAAATTCATAATATTGTTGGTAAGTGAATACTAATTATTTTTTATTCTTATGGAATTGTATCAATTACATTAGAATCATTCCCAAACTTTCATCCTCTAGCAGTATTGCCCGAGTGCATTCTACTGCAGATAAATTATATTAGAACATTTATCAGTAAGAAGGCTTACGGATGTATGCTTGAGACTTGTCCCTTATTTAAGAACTAAGATAGACTTCCCCATTTAGCGTTGGTTTCAACTTCAGTGACAGCTAGATGTACTTATGTTTTTGATAATTGCTGAAATCAATTCTGAAAGCTACAAGAAGTTCTATTTTGCCAAGCTGGGTAATAGTGGCTGTTCACTCGAGGTGAACATTTCTCTTGGATCTATGGGGCACAATATTTGTTAGTTTTTGTCATATTCTTGCTTGATTTACTTGCTAGTTTGAACACATTGTTAGCCCTCATCCATATGCTTTTCTGCTGTAAGCCTGCAATTCTTTTTTTCCTTTTTTGACACCTTTATCATCATGGAAGTTTTTTCACTTAGCTATAAGAGATGAGGTCTCATTCATGTTGTGTTTCAATGTGCCAAATCATTTATTTTAAAACATGCGTGAAATTTTCTTGTTTATTTTTTACTTCTTTTTAGAAAATGTGCAACATAGTTGAAGTTGTCATTATACTTTTCCTGAAAATTTGATGTTATTGTTACTTTTCCCAACAAAACAAGCAACATGGTTCAATGTTTTCAAACTGGCTAGTTGAACCTACTCGTATGGCTACCAACTAGACGATTAGTCATGACTAATCAGTGATAGGGGCAGAGTAGCTACTGAGAGTAAGAGGAGCAGAATAGCTTGAGAAAGAAGAATAATCATTGGAGGGGGAGCTGGAGTAGCTCATCTTCTCCTGCTTGGCACCTTCAGCAGCTTGAGAAGGGGAAGTGAGGCAGGGCCAGAGTGCCACTAGGTCCAGGGAGGGGGCTGTAGCCTTTAGGCGCTCAAGCCCAACTAACATTTTCCTCCCCTTCTAGTTGCCGACTATTATGGATGACTAGTTGCTGACTGGTCAGATGACTAGGTCTATAGTTGAGCTAATAGCCTCGGAGCACCTAATCAATATAATCACAACACTGCATGGTTGAAATTATCATTTGACACTCTACAGTTCTTTGAATAATCCTTTCTGCTTAGTCTTACGTTTTTACAATAGCATTTGTTCATTGGTTTGTTAATGAAGTGATATTTATTTTTCTTTGGGAATAGCTGCATGCTTTTGTGGAGTATGAGACCCTTGAAGATGCTGAGAAAGCGGTACGTGTTAATTGTTTTGAATTTCATGAAGCAGTACTTCTTTGACCATATATTCTTATTACTTTGTCTGATCCAATGCAGATTCTGGAGCTTAATGATGAGAAGAACTGGAGAAATGGGCTTAGAGTTAGGTTATTGAATACTTGCATGGTAATTAACTAATAATCTTGTTAATTAACTTTATAGTAGCACATATGGTAGCTTTCTATTTTTCCTGTTGATATATGCACTTGTACGAGTTGACCATGCATGAATATGTTTATCGGTGAAATGCAAATTTCTGGCCGCTGAAACCTAACGTCTGCTTTTGGATATTGTATTTTGTTGTTTCCTTCAGAAATGTATCATATGTGGGCTGATTGATATAAATAGAACTTTTTAGCTCTACAGTTACTGGCGTGTTTGTTCAGGGGACCTTTGTCACTATATGCCCTTTTAATGCCGTCATCAACTGTGACAAGCCCTCCTTTTTTATGTACTTGTTATCTGTTATACATATTAACCAAATTTCTCGAAATTTATATGATACCTGTTACAGTGCAAACAGGAATTGCATGTGTGCATCATGGGCTGCTTTTAATTTGACGTGTAAGTACAGTCTCATCTTCCAGTTTTGGTGTTATTTTTCTAAAATGCAGACAAAGGGGGCAGGCAAAGGGAAAAAGGGAGTGCATGAAGCTGATGGAAATGGCGAGGAGGATGTCTCCACTTCAAACCAATCAAATGAGAAGCAACTCGAAGAACCCTCTCAATTGTCAGATATGTTGCCAGATCACTTGGTAAGAACTAGAGCGAACCAAGATACATAATGTCCTACCTCAAATAACACACAGAAAAACTCCCTGATAAGCTTGCAATATCTCGAAAGCAGATAACAAACTGGCTGTCATATACTGTACATAAAGTTTACCGAGAATCTGCTATTTACTGCCAATCCACCAAACCATGTTTGTTTGAGTCTTTTTACTGGTCCATATTCATTTTGCATCTTATCTCTGCTTTGTGCAATCTTGCTCTTCTTCCTTGTGAGTTGTGATGAATGAAAACTCCTATGAGCACCGTAATGGGTCCCTAACACGTTTGATGTTGTACAGTTTGATGACAGTTCCAATGATAAGGAAGGTCCAAGACGTGGCAGAGGTCGTGGACGTGGTGGCAGAGGGCGAGGGCGTGGCTACCATCAGCATAACAACAACCATTTCAACAACCAGAACTACCACAACGGTCAGCACCACAATCACCACGCCAACAACCACCACCACCAAGGTGGCAACCGTGGTGGCGCTCATCATGTTGGGACTCCGCCCAATCAACAGCAAACCAAGCCTGAGCAGCACCCGCAGCTGCCAATTGGAGCCACCAAGCAGCCTCCCGGCCCTCGCATGCCAGATGGCACGCGGGGTTTCACCTTGGGCAGAGGGAAGCCGCAACCGTTTCTACCGGTTCTGTGTGCAGCCGTCGAGCCTTGAACCCTATTCATCGTCACGATAGGGTATGCGGCGGCGAGTGCTGGTGTTGATAGAGATGGTTGGAGGTCTTCTCTTTTCGGAACATGGTTTACTTGATTTTGATGGGTGTGTGCCTAGGCCAAGTGTTTTGGAACCGTCTGTTATGGTATTGTCATGTGTTTTGAAGCCAAACATTGTTGTTCTGGTTGGTACAGACTTGGTGAGTTGCATGGTTAAGTTGGCTACCACTACTACCATTTTGGACCCAAGTTATATATGGGGAAGGGTGTAAGACATTATTCATGAAAAATGTTACAAAAAAAAAACATAGAAAAACATGGAGATGCTCGTCTTAGTTCTTGATAGGTCTTCAGGAAATTGGGTCATTTTGACAGAAGGGTGCTCAACAGATTGGATTGGATGACCGAATATATTTTCACCTGCTGCTTGCCTACTCCCATTCTCGTTACTTTGTTTGGTGTGAGAGAACGATAATTACATATTATTTTAAATATAATGGATGTTCCATTCAGTAATGAAAAATATCCGGCCGTTGCACTACTAGGATGTAAAAACACACATGTTCATGGGTGTATATTTGTATCACCTCGTTGCTGTTGTGATGAATATTTTCCTGAATTTCCTGAATATCTGGACGTCATCACAAATAGCGTCCATCCTATTTTCCTGAATTTCTCAGCATTTACTACTTACTTAATTACAATAATATATAATAATTACGATAAATAAAAAAAAATCGGTTACTCTCTCAAACTGTTTAATTTAATTGGATCACTTAACCCATAAATTATTATTTTTTCTCATTTTACTCTCTAAACTTTTAAAAATAATTTATGCTTAATAGCAATTCTCCTTTTCATTTTCTCTTTACACAAGTATCATTTTAAGCTGAACCTTTTTTCGACCCATAGATGATACCCCTTCGTCACACTTAATGCGCACACATTTTACCGATAAATATTTTTATTATAAATTAAATTTTATTTGATGAAAAAATTTTTATTGGATTGTCATTTAAAATTATTTTTATGTCATTACTATTTTGTTGCCAACATTATAATATAGAAAAAATTTAAAGAAAAGATTAGTTTTACGGACTGTGCCAAATTTGATCGCGTCTTGGCGAGTGGGACGGAGGGAATACCATTATCAAAGGTTCAAAATATTTGCAGATTTCATCATGATTGTTTGCTTATAACTAAGTTTTGATGCTTAAATCAATCTTGTTTTTTGTAAACAGTGATAAAAAAAATTTAAGTAATGTTTGAGATGTAAGTTGTAAAGCATATACCAATGTACATTATATAACTTATATATAGAAAGAAATAAATTATTAGGGGTTGAGTGCTCAGACAAAATAGTTTGAGGGAGTGAAGTAGACCCTTTTTTTTAACTATATTTATAAGACACAGTACCATAAAACTACCTATTTCTCTACTTCTTTACCTTTTTATTTACATACTTAAAAGATTCGTATTGTTTCTGCCGTCCCACCTGACAAAAATCTAATCTAACTTAGTCTAACGAGAAATCTAATCTAACTTCTGTCCTATTCCCTCCCAACCCCACCTGACATACAGACCAAATCACAAGGGAAATCAAAATACCAAGTTCATGTACTACCTATTTATTTATATTCCTATTTAAATTTCTATTAGTCCAATTCCTGTTCCTATTTCAATTCACCAACGCAACAAATATATTTGGTACAGAGTTGAACATGAGACAAATATAACATGTAACTGGTACAAAGTTAACAAGAATTCAGAAATACTCGTACGATACGTCTCTACAGTACAGTACTCCTTAAGTATATTGTTTCACTATCTTCACAATTATGTCTATCCTAGATAAAGCTCCAATCCTGAGATGCAGTAACGAAAATTACCATATGAATTCATGCATCATGTTTACCATGCTCAAAGTTTACGCAGTGAAAGAAATCTTCATATCGTATATCGGATGAGTGATTTAAGAGAAAAATTTATTTAAAGTATAGAAGGTAAGAATATATTTTCTATTTGCTAAGGAAGAATCGGGACAGAGGTCTCTCGTTAGCAACAAAACGAGAGTCCACTTAGCAGCGATCGCCCGTGTCACAGTCAGTAACCAAAAAGAAAAAAAAATAAAGGAAAAAAACCGATCGGTTGGCTTCCTTTCCTTTTCTCTAATTGCGCCCTTCTGTTGCACGCCTTTGGCATTCACGGCGTCTCGCCGAACAACCAGTGGTGTCATGCTGCGCCGAGAGGCATTCTGACAGGGTTGATTCATCAATCAATCAATTTCCATCGCTGCACTGACATGCTTCGCCGCCTCAGGCGGGCACCTAGATCCAGGACCATCCAAACCCATCACGTAGCATCTCACCGCACTGTTAGTTCTTCCACCAATTACTCCCTGCCTAATCACTTTGAATCTTAAATTTCTGCCTAATCACATGGGATCCGTCGCAATTTAACTTTGCGATTTTCTTAATCAAGGGCCTTTTAATTTGCTTTGCCTAATTGTTGATGCTGTCGAACCTATGATATTGATTTATCGTTGCAAGAATGTTGTTATGCGCCGCATGCATTATGCAGTGCAGTTCGATCGCCCATTGGGTTTGTTCGGCTGCAACACAGCTATATATCAAGCATAGTAATTTGTGTCTGTACTCTGTAGCAATGGATCAAACAGCCGAACAGAGCCATCTGAAATTTGCTGTCTTTCTTGTGCACAATGCACCAAGAAAAATGCTAATTGGAAATAAGAGTTGTACCTGTGATGTAAACTCGTGCACTTGGATGGATATCATTTTTGCAAAGATACATGTAAATATTAGATGTACGCAAACTATAGCTCTCTTCATCAATGAATGTTGATGTATTTCTATGGTTTACTTTCATCGTGTTTTCCTTCCCTATCAGTGAGGATAAATAACCATTTATACAATTTTAGTAAGTTTTTGTAGAAGAAAAAAAAGGGGGTAAACATGAGTTATTGAGTATAGGTGAAAAGTGATTGATAGATTAAAAAAATAGTTAATTGGCTTTCTGGCACGGGCAGTTTTTATAGTGATAATAAATTAATAAAAACATGATTTAAGTCTTAATAATGTAAGACTATAAATCTCACAATATTTTTTTGACGAAAACTAAACAGAATATAGATATAATCTGTCTTCGTTATGGTGATTATCAAATAATCCAGAAATTATGCCATTATATGTAAATAACTGTTCCATAGATACTAGACCAAAGTTGGTCGGTCCAATCAACAATGTCATCAAGCTTAAACCAAAAAGTTTCTAACTACATTCGAACCATAAGGTATAATAGTGAAATATGTACCTTCTGTGATAAAATTGATGGGACATACATAATTTATAATACAATGTGTCAAATCTAAAATTTCATGATAACTTTTGTTTGAAATATGTAGTTATACAGTACAATTGAAATATTTCACATAGTTTTATGTCAAAAGTACTTAATTACTCACAAAAATTACAGTATCTTTTACTAGGTATGCCCTGCCTAAAAGATATTTGACAAGTTTTCGTCAAACTTATAAATTATGAATTTCTGACCATCGATACTTTCTCAAATACTTAGTGTTAAAAATTAAATAAATATTGTACATAGAATTACCAAGTAGTATACTCCCTTCGTTTTAAAATAATACATTATTTTTATTCGTACAACTTTGACCATTTCTATTAGAATATAACAATAATATCAAATAAAATAGTAATATTGTAAAAGTACCTACGAAGGAGTATTTATAATTAACAAACAAATCTACCTATATTTATAATACTTTTAGTCATTGATGGCAAATCAAAATATAATCCAGTACCATCTATAGCCATGAACGAACACGCGGCTGCAAAAAGCCCCAAATTTTTGAGGGCCCACCTCGGAATGAGCTAATCCATCTGTTCTAAAATATAAGAGATTTTGGATAAATGTGACATATTCTAATACTACGAATCTGGACAAGATATTATATGGCTAGATAGGCCTGCTAGGGAGCAAGCGAGAAACAAAAAAAAAAGACAGCCCTAGGCGAACACGTCGCTTCTCTCGCAACTCGTGGTAATCGCGTGCGTGCGTCGAGGCTAAGACGTCACGACTCCTCGCAAGTCCAATTCAGCAATTCCCGACTATTGCACGCTTGTGCCTGCGTGCGTCTAGAGAGAGCGAAGAGACGACGACGATGATGACATGACGCCGAGCTACGAGGTCGGGAGCAGCTAGCGAGCGGCGGTGGGACGAGCCGAGTGCCTAAGCCCTAGCGGCTGGGGGATGGCTGTGGCTGCCTTTGCCTTCTTGTTTTCCTCTTCTCCTCGTCCTAGACTCCTCAATCCTCATCAGCCCTGAATTGGTATTTGAATTAAATTAGTAATTTGACCAAAAGTATGCCATATTTATATTAGACATATGAATTTCTCAAAACTCTTTTAGAGTGAAAAACCCTCTCACGTCGCACTCCCCAGGGGCGGCTCGGGAGGCGACGACCCCGCCGCCCCTCTCCCCCACCCCCACCCCCTTCTCCGCCTCGCCGTCGCCCGAGCGGCCGCCGGCGAAGCCACGCAGCCACAAGGACGGCGGCGGCGGGGCGCTCCTCGTCTCCTCGCGCTCGGGCAGCCTGGGGAGCCGCCCGGAGTGGCGACGGCGGTGTCCGCCAGATCCGCGCCGTTCCGGCCGGATCTGGCAGGATGGGCTGGCGGTGGGGAAGCCGTCGGCGGCGGGGACGGGCGACGGTGGCGGTCGAGGCGAGTTGCACCGGGTGGTGTTGTGGGTGATGGCGGCGGGGATGGCGACGGCATTGGGGTGGCGATGGTGGAGGCCTGTCACACCCCGAAGTTCTTTCCCAAGCCTAAATTGAAGCTATAAATGGTCTTAAGAAAATACCTGTGTAAAGCAAGAGTAAACCTTAATAAATTAATGCAAATAATAATCGGAATTGGCAGGTGGAATTTTTGTTGAGTTCTACATGCCGAAATACGCTAACAAGATTTTTAGTGGAATTTTCAGAGCTCTAGAAATAATTTTAATCAATTAAAATTGAGCACAGACAATATTTAAATCCTTGGAAATTCATTTCTTCCTTTTTCTTTTTCTTTTTCCTTTTCCCTTAGTGGGCCGCCGGCCCATTCCCCTCCTCTCTCCCCGCGCCTTGCTGGGCCGGCCGGAGGCCACGGCCCAGCTCAGCCCGCACCCCCTCCTCTCTCTCAGGGTCACCGACAGGTGGGGCCCACCTGTCGGGTCCTCCCCCAACCTCTAGCCGCTCGCCGCCGCGCCTCGCGTCCGCGCCTCCCGGGCCACGTCGTCCACGTCGCCCTCGCACCCGCGCCTCCCGCGCCCACTTCCCCCTCTCTCCCGCTCGCCCGCGCTCCCGAGACGGCCGGGATTCGATTTTCGAATCCCGCCTCTCTCTCCTCTCCCACTC